TCTTCCTACAACTCTTCATTGTACGGTTTCGGCTCCAGTCCCTTTATAAGCTTTGTGGCTCTTTCTCTTCCTCCTTTCTAGAGTCTCGGCACCTTTTCTGTATCGTGGTGGCCAGAACTGACCCACTCTTCCACGTATGGCCTCCTTAGTGCAGCTCAGAGCGATATGCTCTTATCTCTTGATGCTCTCCCTCTGTTGATGCAGCCTAGGACTGCGTTGGCCCTTTTGGGCTCGTAACTCAATGGCCATCTGCTAAGGAACCCTGATCCCTTTCACAGTCACTACAGAGAATCCATGGGAAATGGCATTTACCACCCTAAAATAAAAGGGGGATACCGAAGACTCTAAACCCAAGGTTTAAAATGCAAAAAAAATGGGTGCATTATATCCTTTGGCACGTAAGACATGATTGACGGCCCCTTTGGAATCCTGTCTTTTGTAGAACGACCGCTGGTGAGAAAGAGACCCCGTGGACCGAAACGGACAAGATCCGCGTGTGTGTGCGAAAACGGCCCCTTGGTCTGCGAGAAGAGAGGCGTGGAGAAGTGAACATCCTCACGGTGGAAGACAAGGAGACGCTTCTGCTCCACGAGAAGAAAGAGGCAGTTGACCTCACACAGTACATCTTGCAGGTGTGGGGGGTGTGGGGGTAGGAGAGTAAATGAGTATGTGAAAGAAGAGAGGAGGAATGGGGGGAGAGAGAGAGTGGAGAGGGAGAGGGGCAGTGGGAGAGAGAAAGAGAGAGGGGGAGAGGGAGGGGAAGAGGAAGAGAGAGGGAGGAGAGAGAGGGGGGAAGAATACGTATCTCTTTTATGTATACTAAGAGTATTTTACATCAAGACAAATTCCTTGTGTGTCCAATCACACTTGGCCAATAAAGTAAATATTCTATTCTAGAGGGGCAGGGAAGAGAGGAAGGGGAGGGGGAGATGGGGGAGGGAGGAAGGGGGGAGGGGGAGGGAGAAAGAAAAGGAAGGGGAGGGGAAGAAAGGGGGAGAGGGGAGAGATAAAGTTTTCTTTACAATTCTTAGCATAGCTCAACTTTTGTTCAATTCAACGGACTACACTACTGCCTTTTTAAGACCATCTAAATTTCCCCCATATTTCTATACAGCTACACCCACTACTTTCTTCCCTAGACACCTCTACTTGAAATAGAATGAGACAGGTTATTTTTTCCCCCCACCTGTCTCTCTATGTGCTGTTGCTGATGGTGCCGCTTCTCGGCGGGTTTAATGTGGCTTTTCCCTATCAGAACCACCCCAACTCCTCATAACTTGGCATGAGACCAGGTCCCTTGATGATGTCCGCTGCCGTTATGCCCAGCTAAAGGAATCAAACTCTTTTTTCTTGCTCTAAATGTCCTTTCTGTTATTTGCAGCATGTGTTTTACTTCGACGAAGTCTTTGGGGAGACCTGTTCCAATCAAGATGTGTACCTGAAGACGGCCCATCCTCTGATTCAACATGTGTTTAATGGGTAGAATAATTTATATATTTGTTGAATATTTCCTCATTCCCATCGTTCAACGATCTCGGCCTTCGGTCTTCAGAATCAGAATCAGCATAGAGCTGGAAGGGACCTTGGAGGTCTTCTAGTCCAGCCTCCTGCTCAAGCAGGAGAACCTATACTATTTCAGACAGGTGGCTGTCCAGTCTTTCCCCCCAGTGTTGGAGCATCCACAACTTCTGGAGGCAAGCTGTTCCGCTGGTTAATTGTCCTCACTGTTAAAAACAGGGGGTCCCCAAACTTGGCAACTTTAAGGCATAGCTGGCTGAGGAATTCTGAGAGTTGAAGCCCACAAGTCTGAAAGTTGCCAAGTTTGGCGACCCCTGGTTAAGACGTTTCTCCTCCATTCCAGGTTGCTTCTCTCCTTGGTTAGTGTCCATCCATGGTTTCCTGTCCTCCTTTCTGGTGCTTTGGGAAATGAATGGACTCCCTCTTCTTTGCGACATTTTTGAATTTGAAGGCATTTTTTCTTACGCCTTCCAAACCCTTCCGTTCATCAGTCTTCGGTTTTCGAGTGATTTTGAGAACTGAAGTCTTCATGTATGCAAGAGGATCAGTTTTGGGAAGACTGATCTAGCACTGCAGACAATCAAAGGAGGTGATGTGGATGGAGCTTTCAAGACTCCATGGGCCTCCTTCAGTACGACAGTTGTCTAGTCTCCTCTTTGCTGCCCCACACAGTGTGATATAATAAGCTTGTGCCCTATTTGGGGTACTGCAACTCTTTAAAGGAGCCGCCTCTTTGGCTAAGAGGGCACAGCTGTCGGCAGGTGTTTCCACTGGGCCCACTTGTCACACCCGCCTGCAGCTGTGCCCTCCCAGCAAAAGAGGCGGCTCCTTTAAAAGAGTTGTAGCTGGATATTACATTGGTGGCCCTGCAAAAACTCCTAAACTAGAAGCCTCACCACACCGAGAGCAAAGAAGCCACATTCTGGTTTTAGCCTAACCCAGCCTTTGAGAAGCATGGCTAGCTTGCCTTTTATCCTCGGACCCGAGAGAGAAGGATTATTTCTAATTTCGAGTGAATTTAATGTATGAAGCTGGGGAAGCCATCGGCACCAATACTGTGAATTTAACCTTCAGATGAGATTGTGGGAGGCAAACCAACTACTGCCCTCAACTTGTGGCTCAGGAGTTGAGCCATGCCTGCTTTTGTCATGTAGTTTTGCTCTTGCCGTAAAGGCTAGAGCCTCTGGAGAGCATTTGCATCTCAACCTTCGAAAGAAAAGGTGAGTTCAGCGTCTCAGCCTGACACCTGTCCGTTCCCTTTCCGAAGCTGATCTCTCTTTATTTCCACTTCGCTTGAACACTATTTTGACTTTTCATTTGCAGACTGCAGGAGTTGAGATATTTGTGTGGGGGGGTGACAGGGCTCCGACAAATCCACCCCCGTTCAAATCACAAGTCTCTAGCCGCATCTCTCAGAGTTAAAAAAAAATGATTTATTAGGAGTTAACATGTCGGCGTATCCTGGTTGCAGCCGACACTAAGACACACCATTCATTTCCCCCTTGACCCTGGTCTTCCCCCACCCCCCGGATGTACATTCTCCAATGGGACACATCCATTGCCAAGAGTCATCAATCAGGCTCTCCAGGAATAATGTGTGCCAACAGCTTCGGCTGCTTAGCAATTATCTGAAGCATTTGAGGAATGCACTACTTTCTCCCCTCCCTTTCTGCTGGCAACTAAAAAGACCAAAGAAGTATTTTTTAGTTGACATGGGCTTTGGCGGGGTGGAGGGGTTTGCCCTTTTTCAGCTCTCGCCTCAACAATCCAGAGTCCATGAGTTTGATCCTAGGTAGAGGCAGGTATTTTCTCTCTCTGGTCACACTGAGAATAATATCTGCTGAACAAAACTCCACATTGGTGACAGGAAGGGCATCCAGCCAGTAAACACTCAGCTCCGTTCAGTGGCCCAGACTCCACCCCGCAAGGGATTATGGGGTCGTTAAAAGAAGATAGCGCTATTCAAATAAATATAGAGCATACCTAGACAGCATGGAACATACCAAAGTCTGTTAACAAAAGCTTTATTATGCTTATTTTTAACCTTTCCTTGGTTGCAGAGGCAATGCCACCTGCTTTGCATACGGACAAACAGGGGCAGGGAAAACATACACCATGTTTGGTACTCATAAAACCCCCGGCCTCTACGCCTTGGCTGCTAAGGAGATCTTCAAGCAACTGGAAACAACTCAGGCTAGGAAAGATCTCCATGTCTGGATCAGCTTTTATGAGATCTACTGTGGGCAGCTTTACGATCTGCTAAATGGAAGAAAGAGGTATTTTGATCATGTGGTTACGGAGAAGCTGTAAAAGTCATAAGAATGAAAAATGGTCATAAGCCATTTTTTTTTAGTACAGTTGAAACTTCAATGGTCACTAAATGAATGTAAGTTAAGGACTAGCTGTATCTTTTTATACTGGTATTGCTGCTGTCTGATTATTCCTTTACGGCACATCAGAATAATTTCCAAATAGCTGAAATATTTTAATCTGCCTAGACCATATTTTATGGGAAAGCATTGTAACCCGTAGTCCCAAAGGTACTTTTTCAGGAGGCAAATGGATTTTCTGGTTTTTCTTTGAAGACGTTTCACTTCTCATCCAAGAAGCTTCACCCGTTCTGAAAGAAGGGACATTCTTCATTCAGAACTGAAGAAGCTTCTTGGATCAGAAGCGAAACGTCTTCAAAAAAACAACAACAGAAAGTCCAGTTGCCTCTTGAAAAAGCACTTTTGGGACAACCAGGACCTGGATGGCTGACGCTCTCCATATATATTGTAACCAATACTTTTTCAAAGTTTATTTTTAAAGCCATTTATCGCACTTCTTTCCAAGTTTCTTTACTAATCTCTGAGGGTTTCTCTGCAGGCTGTTTGCAAGGGAAGATAGTAAACATGTTGTACAAATAGTTGGGCTGCGCGAAGTCCACGTGAACACAGTCAACTTGCTCCTGGAGGTAATTTTCGACCCTGTAGAATTCAATTTATCCTCTTGTGTTTATAGTAATGGGAAACTTTTGTCTTCAGCCTCTTGCTGTTCTCACACCTCCTACCTTATCGGGTAAATTTTGGGAAAGAAGGTCACCAATGAGGACAAGAAGGGAAAATTTGGAGAATTTTGGAAGCTCTGGAGGCACACTGGGGTGTGGGGAGGAAGGGGTCTGAAAGTTTGAAGAGGAAGCTGTGACTTGGAAGACCCATGTCTCAATCTTCCTCATGCTTGACTGTGACATTATCCCATAATAGTGATCAGTGTAGGGTCTTTGGTAGCCTCTGAGTTTGATTGGTTTTTTTGCAGTCATTTCACTACCATACTGGATAGAATAAAATAGAATAGAATTCTTTTATTGGCCAAGTGTGATTGGACACACAAGGAATTTGTCTTGGTGCAAATACTCTCAGTGTGCATAAAAGAAAAGAGACATTCGTCAAGAGTCAAGAATCATCAGGTACAACACTTAATGATAGTCATAGGGTACAATAAGCCATCAAATCATACTAGGAAACAGTCAATATAGATCGTAAGGATACAAGCGAGTCACAAGTGGGAGGGATACCGTATTTCCCTGAAAATAAGACCCAACCAGAAAATAAGCCCTAGCGTGATTTTTCAGGATGCTCGTAATAATAAGCCCTACCCCCCAAAATAAGCCCCAGTTAAGATTGTTAAGCCAGACGCATTTATTTAGTACCATATTTCCCCCAAATGTTGGCCTAAACCAGAAAATAAGCCCTAATGTGTCTTTTAAATCAAAAATTAATATAAGACCCAGCCTTATTTTCAGGGAAACACAGGTATCATCAACCGTGCTAGAAGAGAGTGGAATTTGCTCTCTACTTATATACAGGTGACTTGCCCTGTCAGTACTGGTAGGAAGGTTCTTGGTGGTTCCTTGATTAGGCTGTTTTTTATTGCTTGATTGTTGGTCTAGTATTAAGATGAGAGGGAGGAGTGGGAGGGGGGGGGGGAGACGAAGAGGAAGAGCAAGAAAGAGAAACCAACCAATAGAATGAGCCTCTGCGGCGCAGTGGTTAGAGTGCAGGACATCCAAACTACTTCTGCAGCCAGCTGCCTATAATTTGGCAATTCGAATCCCACCAGGCTCAAGGTTGACTCAGCCTTCCATCCTTCTGAGGTGGGTAAAATGAGGACCCAGATTGTTGGGGGCAAGAGGCTGACTCTGAAAACTGCTTAGAGAGGGCTGCAAAGCACTATAAAGCGGTATATGGCTAAGTGCTAGTGCTAGAAGAGAACATTTGTAGCTCAGGGTTGACATGAGGGGTCCTTGGTGCTCTCTCTCAAACAACTTTGGTTGTTTTCTTGCAGACGTTACACTACCAAATCAGGTAACTTCATCCATGCTAAAAGGGAAGAGTTTGCCCTCTGTTTGGCTTTCCCACACTGACAGGGCAAGCCACTTCTGTATAAACCAAGAGCAAATCCCATTCTTGCACTTTTATCTATTTTTATGACGGCTATGATCATGATTTATCCCTTATAGCTTTTGTGCACACTGAAAGCTGCTGCACCAAAGACAAATTCCTTGCGTGTCCAATCGCACTTGGCCAATAAAGAATTCTATTCCATTTTACCTAAGTGGGTCATGAAACGTCTGCAAGGAAACAGCCAAGTTCAGAAAACATGAAGAACCCCGCAATGTTGTTACTGTGCAATTTCCCCACCCTCCTATTTGCCTGCTTTCGACCCCTTCCGCCCCCAGGTTATTCTGAAAGGAGGGAAGGAGCGCAGCACAGGAGCGACTGGCGTCAACTCTGATTCTTCCCGGTCCCATGCCATCATCCAGATTCAGATGAAAGACCCCACACACCGAGTCTTTGGGAGGTGAGCACAGAAGAAGGGGAAATAGCAGGCTTTCCTTGAACCTGCTGCTGTCTTAAAAGGTGTAAGGTGGCTGGGCATCCTTGCCAGTTCCTTCAGAATACCTCAGCATCAGCTCAGCTCAGCTCAGCTTAGGATAAAATAGAAATAGGAATAGAATAGGATAGGACAGGATAGGACAGAACAGAACAGAACAGAACTCTTTATTGGCCAAGTGTGGTTGGACACACAAGGAATTTGTCTTTGGTGCAAATATTCTCAGTGTACCTAAAAGAAAAGATACATTCATCAAGAGCCAAGAATCATCAGGTCCAACACTTAATGATAGTCATAGGGTACAATAAGCAATCAAATCATACTAGGAAACAGTCAATATAAATCGTAAGGATACAAGCGACAAAGTTACAGTCCTACAGTCACAAGTGGGAGGGGATGGGCGATAAGGAGCGATGAGAAGATTAATAGTAGTGCAGACTTTGTAAATAGTTGGACAGTGTTGAGGGAATTATTTCTTTAGCAGAGTGATGGCATTCAGGGAAAAACTCTCCTTGTGTCTAGTTGTTCTGGTGTGCAGGGCTCCATAGCGTTTTGAGGGAAGGAGTTGAAACAGTTTATGACCAGGATGTGAGGAGTCCGTAAATATTTTCACAGCCCTCTTTTTGACTCGTGCAGGATACGGGTCCTCCATGGAAGGCAGGTTGGTAGTAATCATTTTTTCTGCAGTCCTAATTACTCTGAAGTCCGTGTCTGTCCTGTTGGGTTGCAAGACCAAACCAGTTACAGAGGTGCAGATGATAGACTCAATAATTCCTCTGCAGAACTGTATCAGAAGCTCCTTGGGCAGTTTGAGCTTTCTGAGTTGGCGCAGAAAGAACATTCTTTGTCGTTTACTGGGCAGGAGCTTTTTAAATGAATCACACCATTTGTTTCTACATCATTTATTTTTATTTATTTAGAAAATTGATATTGCTGCCTATTTGCATGTGGCGACTCAAAGCGGCATACATGAATCCAAAAACATCATATATAAAAAATAAAACTAATAGAAGAAAATAATCAAATAATTAATTAATGAAACAATATAATAGCCCTCCATCCCCGTGACAACACATCATGCAAAAAGCCATTTCATGGGCTCCATCCCGCTCTGGGTTCCCCAGGCCCACGGGCAGAACCAGGTCTTCAGCGCCTTTTGTAATTGGGGGCCAGTCTAATCTCTGGCGGGAATCATGTTCCAGAGAGGGAGCCACCACGGAGAAGGCCCTTCTTCTGGGTCCCACCAGGTGTATCTTCCCTCAGGGATGGGACCCACAACATTCCTTGCCTCCCGGCTGTGGTGGGTCGGTTAGATGTGACCGGCAAGAGACGGTCCCTCAGATAACCTGGTAGATAATCATGATAGATCATTAGAAGACGGCCCAAACATTTGGGTGGGAGGCCATTTCCCCCATTTCATTTCTGATTTTCTTTCCTGAGCTGGAAGTATTCACGGGGCCTTTTACTGTCTTGATGGGTTATTGTTATCTTCCTTGAACTATTGAATCCAAGAGTGGTGTGATTTTTTTTTTGAAGTTGATCTGAGATGTACTTCAATATCCTTCAGCAAATCACTGCTTAGGAATAAAAGTCTACCTGGCCGCAGAAAGTACAACTTCATTGGGCAGATGAACATGAAATCACTGAACCTTGCCTTTCAGAATCTCGTTTATTGACCTGGCTGGCAGCGAGAGGGCGGCTGATGCCAAAGACTCGGACCGGCAGACAAAAATGGAAGGAGCAGAAATCAATCAGAGTCTTCTAGCAGTAAGTAAACCCAGGTTCCTCTGAAGGCTGCACTTCATGTGGCTCAAGCATTTGCTTGGTCAGGGTTGGGCGGGAGGATTTGGCCATGATCCTCGACCCCCCCCGCTAAAACCCCCCCCCCCCCCCGGTTGGATGCGCCTCAGGGTCCTCCAGCTTCATACACCCTAGTGACCATCTGGCTTGGACCGATTCCTCCTCCAGCTACACCTCCTCCAGCCGGTCTTCTTCATCTTGAACCCAGTGTGGCCAAGGAGGGGCTGCTTTCAGGGTTCCGGACTCTTCCTGGTCGCTCCTGTGGGTTGATATTGAGTCTCAGCCCCCATGGTAGACCGGGTTGGCTGATAAAGCAGATCTTGGCTAATTGTTCTGACCCAAACCTTGTTCCAAGGAAACAAACACGAAACAGAGGTAATAGAAAAACCTTTTAATGATTCTTTATGAATTCCGTTCCTTCCCGGTTAAAAGGCTGTTTCAAACTAATTGTCTCTGATAAGAACGAGCCTTGTCAAGGTGGTGCAAGGCTGCCAAGAACACCAGATAAAGTTGCCAAGAAATAGTTCAAACACAAAGAGTCTCCAAACACAAACTAAGAGAGTCCGAACATCCACAAGGCTTGAGTGCAAAAACTTCTTTGCTTCCTGCAAAGAACTTCGGTTTCTCAGCTGGCTTTTATCTCTTAAGGGAGGGGCCATCACCTTGCAGTCTTACTCCCGAGTCGCCCGTGCTGCTGCAGCTGCTCTTTCCTTCGAACAGCCCCGCACACACGTGCACTGGGCACAGGCTCCTCGGGGGCCTCTTCATCGCTGCTGCCAGCCTCCAGCATCTCCAAAGGCAGCACTCCACTCCCTGATGGTCCTGGCCCCATCTCTACATCCCACGCAGGCCCCTCATCTGAGTCCTCGCTCTCCAAGACCTCAGCCGTCCGCACCTGCTGCCGGCGAACCACAACACTAATGTCAGGACTGCCTCTATTCAAAACCTAAGAAAGAAAACCGCCAACTCCATTTGTTTAGAGAAGAAGTGCTTTTACTATGTTTGAATTGATAGCAGCAAAAGGGTCCTTGGTGCTCTCTGAACTTGATAGTTTTCTTGCAGATGTTTCATTACCCAACTAGGCAACATCATCAGTGCTAGAAAGAAGAAGGACTAGTTCTCTGTTTATATACAAGTAGCGTGTAATCAAGAAACCACCAAGAATGCTCCCACCATCACTGACAGAACTAGCTATAACCAAAGGCAGAGTCCACCCAGGGCCCCACAGTCCTTCCCCTCCTCCTCCTCTCCACAAACCCTCATTCCCTTCTACACTGATTATGTTACCTAGTTGGGTCATGAAATGTCTGCCAGGAAACCACTAACCACAGAGAGCACCAAGGACTCCACAGTCCTCCTCCTCCTCCTCTCCACAAACCCCACTCCCTTCTAGCACTGAGGATGTCACCTAGTTGGGTCAGAAAACGTCTGCCAGAAAAACCACCCAGCTCAGAGAGCACCAAGGAGCCCACAATTGAACCCTGAGTGACAGAGTTTCTCTTCCCTCTAACCCCTTGGACGTAGGAAGGAAATACCTTGACGGAGCTCTTGCAGAACGTTGGAGGAGGAGACACGCGTTGCAATGCCCCCTTCTTTCTATCTCTGGGAAATTCAACTGTGAGGTTCAACCTGATTTTGTGAGAAAGGGGCTCCCGCTCACAGCCGATGGGTAGGGTCTTGTGTGATACGTTTTTTTCTCTTCTGTCTCTCTAGCTGAAAGAATGCATCCGTGCGCTCGATCAGGAACACGCTCACACTCCCTTCAGACAAAGCAAACTGACCCAGGTACTACTAGAGTCTGACTCGGCTTCCCCCCAATTCTACATTCTTCTCTCTCTCTCCCACGTGACTAACTTCACAACTTCAGTGATTCATTTAATGGTAGCAAGAAAAGTCATAAAATCAGACCCCCTAGTAACAAATGTCTCACTTTGCAACAGAAATGTTGGGCTCTATTGTGGTCATACCTCTAGGACAAGGGTCTTCCAACTTGGGCACGTTTAAGACTTGTGGACTTCAATTCCCAGGATTCCTGAGCTAACATGACTGGAGGAGGAGGAATTCTGGGAGTTGAAGTCCACAAGTCTTAAGGCTGTCAAGTTGGAAGACCCCTGAACTAGGTCTACCTGTCTCTTCTCTCCCCGCTCAAGGTCCTGAAGGACTCTTTTGTTGGCAATTCCAAGACGTGCATGATTGCCAACGTGTCACCCAGCCACGTGGCCACAGAGCACACCTTGAATACCTTGCGCTATGCCGACAGGTAAGTGGCAGAACCGGCTTAAAACCAGAGAAAAGTCTAGGTCAGTCGTGGTGGGACTGTGTTGCAGGAGTCACAGGTGGCACCTTTTGCATCTTTGGTGACACAGCAGGCCTTCGGACTCTCTCTGGAAGCTGACAGTTTTCGGAGACTCCAGAGACCTCTTGTGTGACTTCTACAGGGTCTGGATAGGGAAGGAAGGAAGGAAGGAAGGAAGGAAGGAAGGAAGGAAGGAAGGAGAGAGGGAGGGAGGGAGAACAGGAGAGGAGGAGAAAGGGAAGAAGGAAAGAATGGAGAGGAATAAAAGGGAGGGGGGGAGGAGGGAAAGGAGAGAAAGAGGAAGGGAAGGAAGGAAGGGGAGGGGAGAGAGGGAGAACAGGAGAGGAGAAAGGGAAGAAGGAAAGAATGGAGAGGAGTGAAAGGAGGGGGGATAGGAGAGAAAGAGGAAGGGAAGGATTGGAGAGCAGAAAGGGAGAAAAGAAAAAAGGGGAGGGAAGCGAAGCGAAGGGAGGGAAGGAGCCCCTTTTATCCATAATACATCAGAATAAAAGTAGGCGTTTTCTGGATTTTTGATGCGCTATGCCCCAAACGTTCACCATCACTGGTCTAAATGATCAAATCCCTCAGGCTGGACTGCAAATGGGCTGTTCTCTGCCATTGCCCAATGGGATATCTGACTTAGAATGCTACTGGCTCTGATCTCCAGGTCTTATGGGTGGCCACAAAGGGAAGGAAGCTGTGATTCCAGGATGTTTGTAGAGTCTGTTTCCTCATTTGATCCGCTTCAAAGGGCTTAAAACACATCTCAAAGACTTGGGAAACCTAGAGCTACTCCATAAATCTCTTACCAATTTCTCTTTCCTTGCCTACAATCTTACGTACTTGTTGGCATCCCGCTGACAGCTGTTCATTCTGGTTGAAGGGCTGTGATTGCATTCAATGGGAACTGGGTTTTATTCTTTATCAGCATCTCACCTTGTGTCAGTGCGGCTGTTCTGACCCAGCTCCCCAAAGACAACAAACCCTCTGAAGTGAACTCAAAAGATTCCTTTATTCGGAGCACCAGCAGCCCCGGGAAAACGTTTCTCTCTCAACGCAGGCTAACAAGTCCGTCCAGCAGGGAGATGAATAGCTGTCTGCCACCCCTATTCATCTCCGCCCCCTGCCTTTTATTCCCAGAGGTAGGGTGGGGCTTCGTAGCAGCAGTGGCTCTTCCATCCCAAGGACCAGCCCATAGATTTCCACTGCTCTCCTCTCTGCTGCACATCCACTTGTCTGGCACTGGACCCAGCTGTTCCTCCTCTTCTTCATCAGCCACCTCCAGACCTTGGGGGTGTTGACAACTGAAGGCTGACGGACGGCTCAGGCTCCACCTCTCTCTCTCTCTCTCTCTCTCTCTCTGCCAGCTCCATTCCCTCTTCCCCCTCAGAGCTCCCAGGTTGCCCTGATGATGACCCTGACTCCCACCCTTCCTCCTCCTCCTCCTCCTCTGATTCGGCTGCTGGAGGGGCCGGCGGCCGACAGGCCACAGCAAGCATCTTTGAAAAGTTGCCTAGAAATCGTTCAGGATGACCTGAGCCCCTCTTTAAGGGAAATGGGTACTTAAGGTTTGATATACAAATAAATAATATAATTCCTGGTTTTTTCATTGTCAGGGTAAAAGAGCTGAAGAGAGGGATGAAATCTTGCACCCCTATTGCCAGCAGACCCCGAGCAGCAGGACACACGTCTCCTAAGCGTATCCAGAATTCTCCTTACGTCCAAGTTGGAGGGAAAAGCTCTCCCAAAAAAGTCAAGCTGGGGATGCATCACCCTCTGATGCCGACACCCTTGTCCAAGACGAAGACCCCTTTGCTGTTTCAGCCAGCTCACCACCTTCCTTTCTCCTCCACTCCGAAGGGACAGGGGCGCAAAGAACCTCTGGGAGCTCCGTGGCCCAGTTGCGCCGGCGCAGAAAGAGGGATCCCGAAGGCGGAGGCGTCATCCAAGTTGCTGGCGGAGGAACCCGCGGTAATGTCTGAGAAAAGTCGCTTCAGGAAGGACTCGGTGGCCAGGAGAGAAGGTGGCCAGGAGGACAGGCAGAGGGGGACGTGTCCGAAAGTCGATCCGGTGCAGAAGCAACTGGTTTCTAGGGCTGATTTTTCCCATCATGGCTCAGATCACGAGGAAGATCCCGGGAGACCCTTTGCGGATCAGTGCGTGGCAGCCTGGACGGGCGCTTCCTCCCAACAGAAAGACCGGGAGCAGCACCTGCGGCTTTATCACCGGCAGTTCCAGCAGCCTCCTCTCCACCAGCAGAAATTAAACTACCAGCCCTTGGAAAAGTTTTTAGCTCGGTACAAGTCCCAGGAGGTCCAGGTGAGGCCGGAGGCCCCTTGCCCTGACTCCGTGTCCCCTCAGGGCCGGGACGAAACCATGCAGCTCGAGGAACTGGACGACAGCGACTTCAGCGAGGACTCTTTCTCTCCCGGCCCCGGTCGGAAGAAGGTGGAGAGGGAAGCTCGAAAGCAAAGCAGCCAGAACTCCTTTTTCCTCCATCGGAGAGATTTCGGGCTCCAAGAACGGGACGGAGAAGACGAGCAGGAGCTGTTTTGTCAATGGTACGCGTTTGAGACGGGAAGAAGAGCGCTACCAAGCGAGGAAGAGTCCAGTAGCTACGAGGAAGGCGGTAGAAGTTTGTGCGATTGGAGCTCGGGAGAAATATTGGCAGTGGGTTCCTCACCGCACAGGGGTGTCCCGGAGAAACCTTATTGCTCGAAGGAAGGTGAGAAGATAAATCCTCAAGAATCGCCCGTGGAGCAGAAGCCGCTGAGATGCTCGGATCCGTCTCCCGGTTGCCCCGATGGACACTTCTCCCCGCCAAGGAAGAGAACACAAAGCCCGCCTCTCGCTGCCATCTTGCCATCTTTCCTCCCCAAAGGAACAGGCTTTCGCGGAGCTTTAGACTTTCCTATGGGCCCGGCTGATGACGCGATGACACCTCTGTCCGCATCCTTCCTGAACTTGGGACCAGCAGAAGAGAGCAAGGGGAAGAAGAGGACTGACGAAGAGGACGTCTTTGGGCCCAGCAGGTGCTGGGAGGAAGACGCCGGGCACGCCGCCCCTGCGTCCAGCGTCTACGAAATAAATTGCTGGGGTAGAAAAACCGAGCCGGGTCTTTCTCCGGGGGCCAAATGCCAGTGGCTTCCTCAGTCTTGTGGCTGTCCGGGGGAAGCTGCCATCTTGGAAGCCACATCGGCTTTTGGTGAATGTATCTGTGGCTACACTGGTGAAAGTCCTGTGGCCGAACTCCTTCCTCGGCACACGGAGGAAAGGGCCTCGCTTGGCGGAGACCTACAAACAAGCGAATATTCAACCCTCCGCGACTCCGATCTCGAAGTGGCAAAGATTGCCGTTTCGTGGAGCTATTCAGACCATCTGGGTTTGGGGGGGAAAGAGACCCCTGAGCCTTTGGCTCCGGTTAGTCCTGTCGATAGGGGAGGAATACCTTCCACTCCAAATGCTTTACCCAGTTCTGAGAATGCAGGGAAGGAGCAGCTCTCAGAACGAAGCCCCCCGTCACGCTCGGATTTTCCCCCCTGGACAATGGAGCTGCGGCGTTTGGAAGAAGCCCGCAGGAAGGAAGAAGCCCAGGATACGCACAACTGTGAGGACGCAGAGCAGGACTCGAGGGCTGAATCCAAGGGGACGGTGGCTGAAACCGCAAAGAACTTGCGGAAGGCTTGCGGGCCGATGGAGTTGGCTGAAGGTGGCCTGAAGGAGAAGGACGTGCTGGGAAGGTGAGTAGAGAGATAGATGATAGATAATAGATGGATAGATATGATAATAGGTGGATAGATAGACAGACGATATATAGAGATTAGGTAGGTAGGTAGGTAGGTAGATAGACAGACAGACAGATAGATATAGATGGTATTTATACATGATAAGACACATAGGCAGGCAGATGAGAGGTAGGTGGGTAAGTAGGTATAGGTAGGTAGGTAGGTGGGTAGATAGACAGACAGACAGACAGATAGATAAGATATGGTAATGGATAGATAGACATATATCGATGGATGGATGGATAATAGATGGATAGACAGATAATGGATGGATAGATAATTGTTAGACAGACAGACAGACAGACAGACAGATAGATGATTGATAGATAGATAGATAGATAGATAGAATAACTTTATTGTGACTTTGATGTACAGTATTTTGCTTTTATATAGAGAGATCTGGTGAAAACCGACTGAAGGTTCTCGTGGTTTTCACCTAATTAAAAGTTTTTCCAATTTCTCAAAACAGTCAGTCACATGGTCCAATCACAGCTCCGTCTGGTTGCTTGGTGACACCACCACTCCTGCCTCTGACCAGGTGTGAGAATGACCTTGGTTCCCAAGAGAAATTATTTTGTTTTGGCTACAAAGTCCCAGCTATCACTATTCCCCCCTCCCTATCCCTCAGCTCCAGTGGGGCAACACTTGAAGCCTCAAAATGGCTTCGGTCAAGTCAGCTTCAGGGTTGACACCCATCATGTCACTTTTTTCACTGCCGTTGTAACTTCGGATGGTCGCCAAATGAACGGTTGTTGAGTCGAGGAGTCACCCGTAAGGCCTTTTGGTCAGAGAGCTCTCTTTCCTTGTCTCCAGCAGGCAGCTGGTTCTTCAAACCCATCAGGAGCAGCTGGACAAAATGGCCGCCCTGTCTTCTCGGGAGGAAAACTTGATGGGCATGATGTCAGATTTGGTGAGTCTTCTGAATGGGTTTTCCAGGCCTCTCCAAGCTTCGCTCAGTGGGTCCTCCTGACCCACGATGTTATCTCTTAGACCCAGGGGTCCCTGACCCCCAGGCCATGACCCCAGGACTGGGCTGTGGCCCGTTGGGAACTGGGCTGTTTAAGAAGCAACTGGGCAAGAAGTAACGGGTGGAAATTTAATCAAGGAGAAAAGCAACCTAGAACTAAGGAGGAATTTCCTAACAGTGAGGACCATTTATCAGTGGAACTACTTGCCTCCAGAAGTTGTGGGTGCTTCATCACTGGAAGTTTTTAAGAAGAGATTGGATAACTATTTGTCTGAAATGGTATAGGGTTTCCTGCCTAAGCAGGGGGTTAGACTAGAAGACCTCCAAGGTCC